CACACACACACACACACACACACACACACACACACACACACACACACACACACACACACACACACACACACACACACACACCCTCTTCTCCCTCAGTCTTGCCTTCTGGCATGTGCTTTTCCAGCGTGCGAATCTGTTGGTCTTTGCTGCCCCTCGTTGTCAAATCACACTCCACACCCCCCTCTCCCCTGCGGGCGTCTTGGACTCCTGTTTCCGTCTACTCCCCCCCCCGTTTATAACTGTACCCGGCTCCACCTCACCCTCCTCGTTGTCCCCCTTGTTGTCCACCTCCCTTAACTCGAACCTTGTCATTTTGGTTACGTCGTGCTGTTGTGTGCGCGCATGCTTGTGTTGCTTGCCCTGGCCGTTCTCGTGTTTGCGTTTTGTTGGTTGGAGGACTGTCACAGTCAGTTGTGTTTCGTTCGTTTACAAGTTTACTTCTGCAGTGTGTGCGTGTTGTTGCCGACGTACCAATAGACGACACATAACCCACCCACCAACAAGTGCTCCACACCACGAGAAATCAACAACAAGCAGCAATAAGGAGGAGTGGAAGCGGTGCCATCATGCCAAAAGGTGCAGCCTTCCTGTACGTGTATGCACGCGAGTGTACCACTATCTCTTTGTTGGGTCTGGGGATTCGATACAGCGCGGAAGGGTTTCTGCCGGGTCAGGCTGTCGGTGAAAATGATGCAAAGCGACGTGCAAGTGGTGAGCACTGAAGTGGGGCATGGGCAATGGAGCATGTGATGCAGCAGCAGTTACAGCACAAGCGCAAGGGGAAGATGCGGTGCACAGCAAGCTCACCCGTCCAGGCTCATACAGCAGCATGTTCATGTTTTCTTCGTATAGCCTGCGCGGGTTGGAGTGGGTGCATGGGTTGGAGAGAGTGAGTTGGGGCATGTAGAATATGTGCAAGCACCAAACGACATTCACAGCAGCGACACAACAGTGTTTCGCGGGGACACAGACACAGACACAGACACAAAGATACAGACACAGACACACAAACACACAGACACACAAACACACAGACACACAAACACACACACACACACAGACGCAGACACACACACACACACAGAGAGACAGACAGACAGACAGACACACACACACACACACAGACACACAATCATACACACACACACACACCTTGCCTCTGGGAACTCAATCTTTGTCTGCCGCCTGTCTGGCGCGTAGACAATGGAGGCGCAGTTGACCTCTGTGATGAAGCGGCCTTTGCCAAAGAACGACCACGTGCATATCCGCCCGTTGCGTCCGCTGACGTCCTTCGCGTACAGGATGCGCCCGTGAAACTTGGACGCTAGCTTGTCAAACAGCTCAATGTGCCGCAAAAAGGCCTCCGTAGCCGTCGCCGTGTACGAGAACCGGTTCATGCTGCGGTTGCACGAAAGCTTGACGAGGGGCAGGCCCGTCCCCGTCAGCTGCACGAGCTTTGCGTCGTGCTCCTCAGACACCACCATGGGTACTGCGCACGTTGTGAGCACGCACTCGCATAGCTTTGCCTCCACCTCACGCTGCAGGTCGGCGAGGAGAAAGTATTTGGCCTCGACAAGCAGGGCCTCCAGCTCCGCCTGCTGTGTCGGCAGTGGCACGGAGCCGTCGCGAAGGTGGTTGAGGATGTAGTGGAAGTACCGCCCGTCACGGTCAATCACCACAAACCCTGTGTAGGAAAGAGAAGGGGATGGGAAATGAGCGTGAGCGATGTGAGCGTGAGTGTGGGTGATGATGTGAGTGGAGGAAAGCTGCCGTTGTGTTTGAGGTGGGTTGTGCACCTTTCTTGTCTGCCTCGATGGGCATTCGGCCGCTGAACATGGCTGCCAGCATGTGATCATCTGGCTCCGAGAGAGGAGGATTGCGCATGCAAACGGGTGAATTGGGGCACAGCCAGGTTCAAAAGCAACCAAGCAACAAAGCGCAAGTGCAGCCACAGAGAGACAGAGGGACAGACAGAGAGACAGAGGGACAGACAGAGAGACAGACAGAGAGACAGAGAGACAGACACACACCCACACACCCACACACACCCCACCCACCACCCCACACCCCCACACCACACCACACCACACCCACACACCCACACCCACACCCACACCCACACACCCACACACACACATTC